GATCACAGTAGAAAGGTCAATGGCCTGACCATTATTTATTTCAAAATACTGAGACTCCAAGATTTTTGAGGGGGATGTACTGACATTTCCTCTCTTTTGGGTCTTTATTGTATGTATTCTTCTCCCTGCATGTGTTTTTAATGCACTTTCTCCAAATTGCTGTAGAGAACTACTACTAGACTAAAAATGGATTTTGTCTGTACCAATGGGGAAGTGCCTGCAAACTTAGTGATCATACATCTTTGAGATACTGCATGTTAAGTTGTAATTATTTTGGCAATTCGATTATGGGATTATGATGTATTGCCTCATAGTGTTGATTGATTAATTTGTTCCAGTATTTATATTAGTGCACGGATTGGGGGCTACAGCTTCTCATGATCAGCACCTTTGATCATTTAGTCATTATTAAACAAACAAAACTGCAACGTACCATCCTCAGCTCCTCTTTTAAATTTCTCCAGGTTGACTCTGGGGGGTCGGTTGGGTTTACTAGGAGCAGCACCCAAAGCTAACCCGTTGGGTAGAGGCTTACGCTTGGGGCCTGAGGTGGCATCACTGTTATTGGAGCCGGGCTGAGGGGAGTCGTTGGTCTGCCACCTCAAGCTAGGTTTTTTACTGGCTGGAGGTTTGGGAGGACGTACAGAGTTAGAGGCAGAGACTGGAGGTTTGCTGGTTCCATCATTTTCTGGCTGCTCGCTGTTGTCCTTCTCCTTGTTGAACCGAGCAGTCTTTAAGTTGGACGGGGGCTTAAACGTGGAGTTTGTCTGATGTGAAGGTTTGTTCAAGGCGTCCATGTTTGCTCCTGTCTTTTCTTCATTTTGCTGCCACATTTTGATAACGCTGCTGCTCGGTTTTTGTTGTAAAGGTGGTACTTTGGGTTGGGAGATTGGGGTGGATGGCACACCTCCCCCACTGTTGTCTTTTACCCAGCTGGGCTTGGGGGTGTGTGCTGGAACTATTTTAGGTTTGGAGTCGGACAGGGTGAAGCTGAGGGGGGGCTTGTTGAGAGGAGTCTTCTGTACAGGTCCTTTAGTTTCAGGAGGCTTTGATAGATGTGGCTTCATGGGTATTTGCTGTTTATTACCAATTAAAGGTTTGATGCTGGTGTCTTCCTGTGTGTTTCCAAACCTGCTAGCCAGGGCTTTAGTTGTGTGTGGCTCATGTACCACAGAGTCATTTTTAGTGGATACAGCATTTTTAAGGAAAGCTGGTTTAGGAGGAATATTGATCACGCTGCCCGAGAGGCTCTCCAAGACTGGTTTCTTTGCTGTTATGGCCGGACCGGAGGAGAGAGTGGGCTGCAGGGGTTGTTTAGTACGTCCAGCTGGTGAAGTCTCGTCATTCGCTTGGAAACGAGCCATCATGGCCTTTACATCAGACTTGTTTTCCTGGAATGAATGGAAGCAGATCAAGATAAAAAACTTCAAAAAACAGATTCAGAAATTCACAATAATGAAGAAGCTGATGGTGCTGAAGAGAAACTGTGGGACAAAGCAAAAGAGCAATAACAGAAGAACCGCTTTCAAACAGACTGACACAAAGATTCACACAGAAACGGTTGCAAAACTTTAAAAATACCTTATTTCCCATCAAGACATTTCCTTCTCCTATTTAAGAAGGTTTTTACCGATCAGAGATATTCTGGCTTTCACTTTAGTTGCTGAAGTGGCTGATCTGGTTGTTTCTCATTTACACAAACACAAATTCTCACACGGCTGTGACTAAGGAGGCAGAGGTCAATCAATTAATCACAAGTTGTATTACTTGTCCAATCACAGTACAGTACTCATCTATCATATGCATATATCCCATTGTAAACAAAAGGTAAATTTGTCTGTTAGTATTTATTATACTCCGGCCTCCTCCCACAGTCTAAAGACATGCAGATTGGTCTAGGTTAGATGGTGTGATTGTGTGTATGATTTGTTGTTAATGTGTCAGCCATGTGATACACTGGTGACCTATACAGAGCATACCCTGCGTCTAGTCAGGATTGGTACCAGCGCCCCCTGGGACCCTCAAAGGATGGGAGTGAAAGTTGCATTACAGAATTTGTTCTTAGGCTGGACATGGCGTGGCAGCATATTGGTTTATAGTGTATATTAAATAGTTATAGTGTTGATTTAGCTGTGACACAAATGAATATGCCATCTCATTATCTGGTATCTTTCCTCTGAGAAGAGTGCAGAATGAGCAAATATGTGGGGAGATGCATTATCAGCCACAAGCTGCATAACTGGGCCCTTAAAAAGCATTTGTCCATTTTGATATCGGCACTCCAGTTGTTTCACAAAGTAAAGTGACCAAGTAGCAACCACACCTATTTTAATGAGGCTGGTCTGACTAGTCAGAAGCAGCAGAACAGGAAGTGGAGATAAGAGCAGTGGGAAACAGAGCTGTGAACATGCTTAGTCAATTAATACATCCGTCAAAATATAACTATGGGTGTTTTGTAGGTCCAGCTAAATCAGACTCGGCTTTGTGACACCTTTTTGGGTAGGTGTAAACACACTTGGGTCTGTAGCCAAACCGCTGCAAGAACGTTTAAAGGAGGTGGTCCTAAACTCTGGAGGTGTTTGTTTGTAGTGGGAATGTGATCTGCTATCATCATTGGGAAGAAAGCTGTCAACTTTTGCTAGAGTTTGGGTAGAAGTTCCCTTTAGCAGTTTCAGAAACACCTTTCAGCAGCGGTATGACAATGTGCATTAACACTCAGCCTGTGGTGTTTCTGAATATTCAATCAGAGGAAAAGAAACAGTGCAAAGTTCCCTCCTTTTGCTTCTGTTTTTCCTCTGTGGTAAACTAAAAATTACCCAACACCTCTTGTAGTTGCAGTTACTGCTTCTCTAAACATGTGAGCTGCTGCAATGTTGTAAAAACCCTATGAACGATTACATTCCAACATGGCTGCAAGTATCAGTCAACAACTCTTTAGTAGCTGTTAAACTTTTTTCTTTTTGTGCATTAAATGCCATGAACTTGGCAGTTATTTGTACAAGTAAAGTCTTATGCGCTGCAGAGACAGAACAGAGCAAGGACAGAGCTCTTCTGCTTAAAGCAAAGAGGAACCACTATCTCTCTTTCCATTGTGATGTAAAGTGAAGGCAAAAGTCGCCTTGCTTAATCTAGTTGACACAAAAAATAGTACCAACCCTAATGGTGACTTCTACTGTTTCTACACGACATGTGTGAAGACATTTGTCAAAACAAAGTCACAAGTCAAAGTCTTCGATATCCGATGTAAATCTAATATTTGAACAATTTAAAGCCACTAAAACAAGGTTTATTCTGAGTTCTGTTGATGGCATATGAAATAATACAGCTTTCCATCTCTAATCCTGATGTTTGCAAGATTGTGTGCACTAGTATGAAGAAATATCTATTCATAAGAAGTCTGTAAATGGGATCAACATTTCAAACAGCAACTTTCTATTCCTCAATCATTCCAGAGAAATTCTAACATCTGTCAGGTAAACATTATGAATGGTTGCACTCACCATATTGAGGAAAACAATCCCAGGGGATGGTTGTTGGACAATGTAGTGGAGAGTGTTTGATCAGTGTGTCAGTGTGGGTTTCTGTTGCTGATTAATGTTGGAGGAGAGCGATACTCAGTGACCGTGAAGTGCGTGTGTGTGTGTTTGTGTGTTGGAGGGAAGCTCTAGCTCTGGTGACATAAGCATCTGTCTATATCTACTTCCTCTCTCTGTGGTATGTGTTTTGTGTGTGTGAGTGTCACAGCCTGTGTTATCAGTGTGTTTTGATCTCATGGATTTGCCTGTGACTGACAAACCCCCTTCACTTTCCCTTGGTGCTCAACAACTGATGCTGGTTCCCCTCAAGCAGTTCATCATGTCGATTATATTTTTATTATAAAATATATATATACATATATTTATAAAAAATGTATTTAATGTGACAAGGCTGAGAAGGATATAAACAGCAGTAGGATGTGGCAGTGTGTTCTGGATTACAAGTCTCTGCAGCTCAGTGTGCGCTGTTGCACAGTGGAGCTTTTAGCTATATGCTAAGATTATCAAGCCAACATGCTTGTGACAATGCTGACATGCTCAGGTGTGATGTTTACCATGCTTACTACTTATACTACTTACTTACCTAACATGTTAACATGCTAACATTTGGTAATAAGGTTCAAAATGCTAGAATTTACTGAATAAAAAAAACATGATGGGACATGATGCAGAAAAAACGAACACGCTGTTACAGAGAGTATTATCCAGACTTTGTTCAAGTTTTATGACCACTTAATGTGGAGTTTAAAGTTGTGGCTCATGTGCTGAGTCATGCATTGAAAGGTTATTCTAAGGACACGTGTTTTTTTTGTCTTTCGATCTTTCATCTTCACATTCCTGTTCCTGTAATGTGCTGTAAAGATTTACTCCAGATAATGTTTTCACTCACGTCATATTCCACACAGCAGTATTACCGTTATGAATTGCGTGCTGCCAGATCTTCACACTGCTTAAATGAATGGCCCAACTGTCTGGATATTTGAATGCTTTCATTCAAAACAAGCAAATTTGGCTGTCGGTGCAGTCAGTGAATTTCATTTCAGAAGAGGTCTTAAAATTGATGAATAAATTCAACAAATAAAATAATCATGATTTAATTGAGTGAATCCAAGTAAATAAATTAAAAAACAAATTTAACAGAAAATTCATCCTTGAAGTGGGTGGTCAGGGTTAAGCTAAATTGCCCTCTCCTAATTGTACAATTATCTTTGTGTGTCTGTTTTTTCTAATATGATAACACGTAGACAAACTTTGTGGTACTATTCTTCCTTAAATTGTGCTACTCAAAGAAATGTTATAAAAGAATGTACTGGGACAAACATATTGAGTCCCGCATCAGTAACTCATTGTTTTACTGACCTGAGGTCTTTAAAAACAGATGTTTAAAAAAACAATTTGTTCCATTAAAATACAGTTACTTTCCATTTGGATTCTCATGTTACACAGTGAATGTGTTTGGAAAATATTGGACAGATGTGTTGCCCAGCAAGCTGCTTGGCCTTGTATGGACATCCCTCCTCTTCCTCTGCCTCAATCAGCAAAACAAAGACAGAGTTTTTGGGGGAGCAGCTGAAGAGTGCACATATGCTTCATTTCATCAAAACTTTTTTGTATTTAAACTTTTAACTATTTTCAGTTTTATCCACTTCACAATTCTAATACATGGAAACATATAATACATCGAATCCTGTCAGTCCCAAGGTTTTGAGGCAATCGTTCTGTAAGTTTGCTCATGTTTAAAATCCTTGTGTGTCCATCTCATCTCAAGAGTTTAGATCCTCGCGTCATTGCCTCCTCTATTTCCTTTTCCTCTTCATTCCTCCGACCGGTGATATGAGTACATCTCCTCCGCCCTGTCTTCATCATAGCCGTGATAGTGTCCCGCCTCACTGCCTCCTCTTCCCCTGTCCTCAGGGCAGTGGATTCCAAGTCGCTTCTGCAGCTTTTCTTCCTGGAGGCGAAGCTCCATGGAGTCCACCAGGTCGTAAACGTTATCTAGGGACCACATGGGGGATGGGAACCACGCCTTGACATCGCCGTCCTTCCCCACGATCAGCATGCTGAAGTAGTCCTTGCTGATCTTCAGCTGTTCTCTCATGTTGTTGACCATGTCTCGGGATAACGGCTCAACCTCACTCTGACTATGACCTGGAGGAAGAATGACAGAGGAAAATTTAAGCAGTGCATTTAACAAACCACGTCAAAAAATAGTGCCGAAAAATTGTTTCACATTTTTTTGTTGAAGATTATCGAGATTATCGACCTTAAAATCTAAAAGTCTTTATGCATGTTCACATTAATATAGACATTTTTACTTCCACCAAATAGTTTGTTGATGTTTTCATTGCATCCAACATGATTACTCAAAAACTACTATTCTACGATTTCCATGAAACATAGAAACAGACATCACTCAAACAGACATCAGCCAAGAAAGATCCCATTGGACCCATTTGGAGCAGATTTTGGATCAACAGGCATAGCTTTGGAGGAGCTATGCGCTTTCCGAGTGCTCTTCTTGCTGACGATAAAGTCCAAGTTACTGGTTCCATCTCTGGACTGCCCCCCCATCACTGTGACTCACCATTTAGTGGAAATAACTCAACAGTTCCTGACGCTTTGTTTCCAGTTCCAGTCAACTTTAACATGGCAAAGTGGCGAATACCTGAGGACAGACCCAAGAATATGTCTTTAAGCAGCTCATGCATTCAAATGAACAAACAACACTACTAGAGAAATGTATGTGTCCACTTAAATATTATGGGTGGGCAGTAAATATCTAAGGACAGCTTGCTCCAACAAAATGTCAAGTTGTGGTTGAATACTAACACTTATGAGTTTCATTACATTAAGCACATCCATGACATTTTCATTTATACATTCAGTGTGTGATGTTGGCTCACCCAGGTGACACTTCTGTCCATTGAGAGCAGAGAGCTGCTGTTGGAAGGAGTAGTCGTCCTCAGAGGGAGCAGAGATGAGCAGCAGTCTCCTCTTCGACATGAACCTAAATGTACAAAAAGAAGAATGATTCAAGTTTTATTATTGTGGTGTTGGTCAGTCAAACATGTCTCATGCATGATCGAAGACTATTCTCATACTCAAGGCTTTTGAGACACATCTTTTTTGATAGAATACACATAAAAAATAAATCCTTACATCATTGCTTTAATTTCAGTTAACAATGCTAATTTGGATTTCCTCAGAGCAAAACAAGGATCCAGACGTTGCCTCAAGGATAGCTGCTGATATTGATCACTGAATGATGGTAATTTACCTGAGCAGGGAATTCTCCGCTTCAGGCTCTTTGTTTATGGAGCAGACTGTCGGACTCTTCCTCTCTTTTTCTTTCTCTGAGCGCCTTGAGGGAAAGTTGTCAATGTACTCGTACAGAGCCGGGCTCGATGGTGGAGCTTCAAAGACTCTCTGGGGGAAGATTCATTGAATGTTTGTCACATATTCTCTTGGTTCATATTAGAATATGAAACATATGAATTGTTTACAAAGGGGATGCTTTTTTATTATTTATCATTCTCAAATGTTTTCATTTGAATGAAGCTGGATTCTTTAACAATTTCCAATATCATTTAAGGATGGTACTAGCTTGTAGTTAAATTATACAGACGTGTAAGAACAGGAGGTGAAAATCCTGCATCAATGAACTAGACAGCTTCCAGGTGTTTGTGTCAAGATGTGCAAAGCAGACAAAAGAAGTTTTTACATCAGGCTGGATGTCGTAGTCTGTGACAGTCATGGAGAAGAGGTCAGCGGATGACAGGCGGAGCTCAGCTCTCAACAGGGAGATCAGGCCTGAACCAAAGAGCTTGTCTGATAGGTCACTGAGTGGAGGCTCTGATTCTGAAACACACACACACACATACGAACGTTTGCAAAAAAACAACAGGAACAATGTAATGAAACCCAAGACAACCACAGCTTAGCTGCATTATAACCAGAAGTACTTGGAACTCTTCAGCCTAAAATCTTTTTGAAAGAACTAAAAAGTCACTGCAGATTGTTGTTTGTCTGCGTTTCCAACACGATCTGAAGATCAGGGGAGATGAAGTAAATGTACCTGATGTGTGAACAACTGAGAGCTACATCAAGCTGTTCCACTCCAGTCCACCAGGCGCTGATACCAATTATACCCAAAAACTTTCTGCCTGCCTTTTAGTCCAGAACAATCTCAACAACAATTGAATTGATTAAGAACTTTGGTACATTCACACCTCCTTAGAAATTAATCCTATAACGGCATCTTGCTCCACCAAGAGGCAGATTTTTGTGGTTTTAAGCAAAACCCACATGGATGACAATCCATCCAAGCCCATTGAATGGATTCTCATGAAATCTGGTTTCCACATTCAAACATTCCACCATAATAAATTTTAATGACTTTGATGGTTCCCTGAATTTTCCTCCTGCAAAGACAAATAACATTGCACCACAGTTTTAGTCTGTTTACTGCAAATGAGCAAATGTTATTAATCTCAGTGAAGCAAAGATGTGCAACCATTTAGCTAAAACCTTTAGTTTAAGAGCCTGATTACAACCTTACAGAACCACTAGCATTGCTGCTGCTCTGCTGCTGACTGATGTCTTGAAAGTCAGACGTTCCCGCAGCATGTAAACACATCACATCAACAAATTTATCAACAAAGTCATAAAGCATTGTCCGTGTTACAGATCCAAACTGCTGTGCTGTAGAACCATGGAAGCCATTTAAGCTGGTTTATTGATAACGAAAATGTTTTGGACGCCAATATTCAACTTCTTACACACACACATAGGAATTTATGAATGCTGCATACCAAGCTGGTGGTGTTGCAAGGTGAGTGTGGCGTCGCTGCCTTCCACAATGGTCGCGACGGTGATCTTCCTGATAGCCAGGTCACAGTGACTCTTCTCATTCTCCTCTTTCTGCTGGATGTAAAGCGTTGCATCTCTGCTGGGCGTTGAGATCAGCTAGAGAAACACAATCATGAGTCAGATTAGTCCAATGTTTCATATGCGTTTGTAATAAAGATATCACTGCTATAGGGAGAAGATGTAAATAACTTCTTCTCACCATCAACCTTCTTTTTCCCTTCAAACTTTCCAAAAACTCCTTCAAGGCTGATTTATCCTTATCACTGGCTTCTCTGTTGGACTTCTTCCCTCTTCCTTTTCCTTTCTTTCCTTTCTTTCCCTTTCCCTTCTTCTTCGAGCCTTGTTTTTCCTGTGAATCATCCTTTACGTTTTGCTCTTTTTTATCCTCACTGTTTCTCCCTCCATGTGTTCTCCTTCCTTCTTCCACAGTGGACTCGGGCCTGGAATACAACACAAAAGCTTTACTTTGAAGTTTATCCAGTGCCAAGAAAAGAATCTGCATCTGGTGTAAAGGGGAGGTATGACAAACCAGATGGGTTCACAAAACCAAAGCGGGGTTTCTGAGAAATCCCAATATTCCTACTCCTCCCTTTATGTTTGAAAAGCTGTCAAATGACTGCACCTGTGCTTCTTTACTTCTTCGTTGCTCTTTGACACAGAGGGAAGACGGTGCTCTTTCTCTTTTTCCAGTCCGTTACCAGCAGCTCGACTGCCACTGTTCGAGTCCTTTCCCCTCGTGGACCCGGCAGCAGGCACCTTACGGATAACAAACCTCGACCGTCCACTTAGTATGTCCTGGATCTTACTCCTCAGAGCAGCTTTTTTGTCCAGAGGATTTCTTGGTAAAGCCACCACAGAAGTCACATTTCCCTGCCTCTGAGAGCTCAGCACCATCTTCTTCTTTATCTTTTTCCTTTTTACCACAACCTTCTTTTTAGCAGTGCTGCACCTGAAATAATGATAATTCAAATGATTACATATTTTAGCATGTTTTGTCAGAAGATTTGTTTTTATTTTTCTCTAAATAAATTCTTTAAAGTATCATATAAAAAACACTCACTTGCATGGTACCACAGGGTCACTTTGTTAACACATGCTTTAAATCAGGAACTACTAAATTAGAAAAGTTCTCTAAAACACATTTTCGTACTTGCAGAGGCGACTGACTAAAAATAGGCAGAAATGGTGGAAGTTGAAATGGAACTACTCTTTAGTGTCGGGCCCATAGTTTTTCTTATCACGTTAAATGTTTGCAGTTTTTCAAATTTTTTTCACATTTTGTTTTATTCATCCTAAAAAAGCTCCTGTTAAGCGGTAAACTGTGCAGAAGGACCTCATAGAAGCACTCTTTAGTTTTCTGTCGGTACAGTGAATAGTGGGACCTTATGTTGGCTCCTTTTCTGGTCATCTTCTCCAGCTTCCTCACGGGGAACTGATCGATGAGCTCTAAAATCGCCTCAACGCGGACGGGATAGGGGAAACGCTCACTGACGTGCAGATTCTTCTTCAGAACCAGCATGGTGAAGCCTTGCTCCTGAAACGATGGGTGTCGAGTGAAAAGCACAAGTCAGGAGCAGGTAAATCGCAAAGGAAAAACGGTTGGTTTTCATAAAATTATCCCAAAAGGAAGTCTACGAATCACACTGTTAATGGCAGCCTGTTCACCTGGTTGTTGAGATCTAGGTAATGCAGCAGCTTGGTAACTGTGTCCGGATCGAGGCTCTCCACTGTGGCTTCTCCCTGTAAACTAGTTTTCTGTATCCGACCTTCCATCATAGCGTTCTGGATGATGGTGATGATGAAGGTGTCTCTTTCTGCTAGACGACAGTTCAGCCCTTTCTGATCCATGTCTTCCAGCTGTTTCTCCATCATTTGCAGGTAGTGGTCACTGTGCGAAGGGGCTGTTATCACCCACAGACGCTTTTTACCTGGAGGGTTGAAGGAGGTTGTAAGCACTGTGAGTAGGTAGACGGACAAAGAGACACATCAGCTGATCTGTTCTCTTACCTGCAAATTCAGCCAGGAAGTCCAGCTCAGGAGCCAGGCTTGATGTTGATTCTCCTCCACCTGTGTTGTCCCCATGTTCTACTCCTTCATCCAACCCCAGTCCCTGCTCGATCCCTGGAGGGAGGTCTGAATAGTCCCCCCAGTCCCGCACATTAGGGTCCAGCTGATCCTTTGGTTTGCTGCGACCAGTGCCCGGCCAGGCGGAGAGCAGACTTGGGAAGCTGAGGCTCCACAAAACCGCAAACAACAGCAGATGCAAATGTGAGGTGTAGAAATTACACATCCTTACTGACACAGTTGGTGGTTTATTTGACAATCAGCTGAAACTGGTCGGCATCTCACAAATCCTCACGGGCACCAGTGTCGCTTCTAAAAAAAGACAAGAAGGATGCACGAGTTGTTTGAAAGTGACTTAAGAGTTAAAAAGAAAAAGAATCAGAAGACACGTACATACTTTGACTCCAAATTCAAAACTCAACTGACGTCTGAATCATTATGTGTCCTAAAAAAAAACATGTGGACTAAATCTGGAATGACTCTCAAAGGTATAAGAGAATAGAAAAGACTGCAGGGATGGTAACAGCTCGCACCGGCAGCGAGAGACTGACTGGGCAGACTGTTCTCAGCTCGCACACAGACACACACACTCCTGGTTCACATTACACCCCAGGCTTGTTAACAGGAAACTCCTGGAATTTTCTGTGACTTCAAAGCATTTTCCTGCTCAAAAATCTCTTTCTCTCTCTCTCTCTCTCTTTCTCTTACTCACACACGTACACACGTACACATACACTCTCTCTCCCTCTCTCTCAGCTGACTTGCTAGAATAGTATGCATTCACATACACAATCAAAATCATTCTCATTTCATTGTTGCATAACATAAGCATAGGGTCGGAGGTGGTTGTGTGAGGGAAGCTCCCTGTTTGTCTTTCATTGATCAAGAGGCTTAATTCCAACCTGCTTCAAGGGTGCTAAGGCTGATCCCTGACCTTTGACCTGTCAAGTGAACAGGCACCATCACTGCGGGAATCAGTAAAATACAGAATGACTTGTATTGTTACACATTGTAAAGACTGACTGTTTTGATTGTAACACTTTCTGTCTTGGTTGGTTTGTTAAAATGAAAATGAATGGCGATGCACTGCAGCCTGAATGAGGGCAGGACACAAGTTGATGCTTGAACATGAAGCAGTTCGGCCCAAAGCTCTTTGTTCCGAATGAAACTCGAGAGAAACTCAAGCTTTCAAATGAAGAGAAATGGCCACAACCATAAATCAACAGCTTAACTGATGCTGACGTCTGAAAAGGTTCACACCTCAAAGTCAAACCTGCCATCAGATTGAGAGTGAGAACTCTGACCACACTCTAACAGGAAAATCTGTCTCCTGCCCCTGCTTCAAATGTTTTTATTCACATTTGAAATCGGTTTAATTTAATGCAGTAGAAAAATGAACAGATGTGAATTATTAAACTTAGTAGGTGAGACCATTCATTGAGAATCAGATTACCCAGTAAGTTCTCATAAAATCCAAATGGGAACAGGATTTGTGTCATCATCCCATTGTTTACTCTTTGCTGTGTATTCGCTGGATCTGTTACCATAAATTCTACAAAAATCTGTTTTCAAGCCATAAAATATTTGACAAACACTCTGATCCAAGCAAAAGATGTTTTTGTGTGTGATTTAAAAGAGGGCAGTCAATCCATGTTGAATTCACACTTTCTTTTTTTACAGTGTGATGAAAGTTTGGAACCCATAATTGGTAGTTTTGCACTGTGGTTGCAAACTAAAACATCTTTTCCACATTATTTAACAGTTCAGACTTTTATTTTCCAAACAACAACATGGAAAACACACATGGCCAATAGGGAAGAAGAGGTAACTTATTTTCGAATAGAAACCTACAGTAAGGTCAACAACAGTTCTTCCACCTGCTCCCTGATCTCAAAATGACGTGTGTTGGTTAGATATTCATGTTTTAATGTCACAGAGGAGGAAGACGAAATGGACAGAGACCATAAGAGAGGAAAATCAAAGAAGTGCAATGCAAAGCGAATGCAATTATAAAGAGCTGTCTTTATGGTGAAGGGCCACAATGAGAAGCAGACGTTGTAACAATACATTCCACAATCTGAGCCAGATAAAGAGAACCAGATGATCCCTGTGTGTGTGTGTGTGTGTGTGTGTGTACTTGTACAGATATCTTTGTGAAGACCATTTTGGACATTTTTCTAGGGGACATTTTGGCTGCTCCTCGTTTTGTGGCCCACCCATAATGGGCTGTTTGAGGGTTAAAACTTGCTTTTAGGGTTAGGATCAGAATTAGGTTTAGGTTTAGGGTTAGGCATTTAGTTTTGATAAGTTAAGATAAATGTACAAACGTGTGTGTGTGTGTGTGTGTGTGTGTGTGTGTGTGTGTGTGAGAGAGAGAGATCTGCTTCACACAGTATATAAAAGGGAACAGTACAGTAGATTGAACAGATTGAACGGTTTTACTGAATAAGACAGACAAAGGAGTTTCATTTACACAGTTGTCTTTATTTGCACAGAAACACTAAATACACCCACAGTATGTCACCGCAGGAGGAACGTGTTGTTAGAGGAAAGACAAGACTTCACTTCTGCGACCTCGTGTCATTGTGATCTGAGGAAGTAACGCAGCGTCCAGAAACAGTCCTAAAACCTCGGTGATGATTCAGCTTAAAGCGGGTTATCACTTTAGCAGATCAGATGATCAGTTTCTCAATTTCAGGGGCAATGAAACTGAAAACAAAACCGTATCAAATGAATTCATGAAGAGACATGAAACAGTTACAGTGTAGATATGTAAGTCTTGCACTACATATTTGTCTACCTGGGCCTGTTTTATGTTAAGGTGGAACAGTGTCACCTTAAATAGAGAAAGCTCTGAGTATGAATCCAAAAGATTTGAGGCGTTCGTCGATTAAAATAGTAATATAGCGCCCCTCAGTGGAAGAAGGGGAAATCTGCATCTTGTGCATGATTCAGCTTTGGGGCGCCATTTCATAATGTTCAACTAAAATCAGTTACCTGTATATTTATCAGTGCACGGATGTGTCTGCAGTTTATCACGTCAGCTACTCGAGGATATCATTTTCTAAACTATGAAAGTGTGTAAAAACAATAGAATCTCACACTAAACAAGGATAACAAACTAGGCAAATTAAAAAAGTGCAAATGAGTATTGATAAATATGAGTCTAGATATCAAGTTTTATTGCATATGAAAGAGTCTATATCGTAAATAAAAGTCTGTGGTGAGTTTGTGAGTCTGACAGCCTCCAGGAAGAAGCTGCTTCTCAGCCTGGTTGTTGAGACTTGGTTTTAGGTTTGGGTTAGGGTTAGGGTCAGGCACTTCGGGTGGTTAATGGTTAATGGTTAGGGGGTTTATGATGTCAATGAGTGTCCTCTCTAAGATAGAAGTACAAGTGTGTGTG